TTTGTAGTATTCAAAAAATGGTCATAGATAAGACATGATTAGGTAAATGAACTCGGGTATTCACGGAATAATACACATTCTTAACATAGTTCGTGTTTCTGTGTACTGGTTCAAGATGAGAGCTTGCAAGAAGAAATTTTTTAAAGAAAATCATTGGAGGTAATCAGATGGGAATTGCCAGTGTTGCGAGGAGCGTTGTCTGGATAGATTTCTAAGCATACAGTAAGGAGTACTGTTAAAATGACAAGCATTTAAGTACCATGGAAAGACTGAGACAAAGACATGTATTTCCTCATGCAGTCTTCTGGTAACATGAACCATGCATACACTGGGCTCATTTTTATGGATCAGGTGTTTTGGGGAGCATGATCATGATTGTATTGCTCTCCTGGGGGCTTCAGAGAATAACTAACTTACTTTTTGCTCTTGGTGCATTTTGAAATGTCAAGATCATTTATGGCTGCTGAGGTTAGTAGATGTTTGCTACAATGTTGCCATTTAACATTTTAAAAATATCATATAACAGTTTGGGTTGGAAAGGACCATTAAAGGTCACCTAGTCCAACATCCCTGCAATGAGCAGGGACATCTTTGACTAGATCAGGTTGCTCAGAGCCCCGTCTAACCTGGCCTTGAATGTTTCCAGGGATGGGGCATCTACCACCTCTCTGGGCAACCTGTTCCAGTGTTTCACCACCCTCATCATAAAAGCAAGCTTCTTCCCAATATCCAGTCTAAGGCTACCCTCTTTTAGTTTAAAACCATTGCCTCTTGTCTTATCACAACAGACCCTGCTATAAAGTTTGTCCCCATCTTTCTTATAAGCCCTGTTTAAGTACTGAAAGGCTGCAACAAGGTCTCCCTGGAGCCTTCTCTTTTCCAGGTTGAACAGCCCCAACTCTCTCAGCGTTCCCTCATAGGAGAGGTGTTCCATCCCTCCACTCGTTTTTGTGGCCTCTTCTGGACCCATTCCAACAGCTCCATGTCTTTCCTGTGCTGAGGGCTCCAGAGCTGGACGCAGGACTCCAGGTGGGCTCTCACCAGAGCAGAGGGGCAGAATCCCCTCCCTTGACCTGCTGGCCATGCTTCTTTTGATGCAGCCCAGGATACGGTTGGCCCTCTGGGCTGCGAGCGCACATTGTTTGCTTATGTCCAGCTTTTCATCTCCCAGTACCCCCAAGTCCTTCTCAGCTCTGCTGCTCTCAATCCCTTCATCCCCCAGCCTGTATTGATACCAGAGATTGCCCCAACCCAGGTGCAGGACCTTGCACTTGGCCTTACTGAACCTCATGAGGTTCATACAGGCCCACCTCTCCAGCTTGTCCAGGTCCCTCTGAATGGCATCCTGTCTCTCAGGTGTGTCAGCTGCAAACTTGCCGAGGGCGCACTCAATTCCACTGTCGGTGTCATTGATGAAGATATAAAAAGTACTTGTCCCAGTATGGACCCCTGAGGGACACCACTTGTCACTGGTCTCCATCTGGATGTTGAGCCATTGACCACTACCCTTTAGGTGCAACCAGCCAGTTCCTTATCTACTGAACAGTCCATCCATCAAATCTCTATCTCTCCAATTTAGAGAAGGGTGTTGCAGGGGACTGTGTCAGAGGCCGTACAGAAGTCCAGACAGATGACATCCATAGCCTGCTCTTGTCCCCTGATGTAGTCAGTTCATAGAAGGCCATCAGGTTGGTCAGGCAGAACTTGCCCTAGGTGAAGCCATGCTGGCTGTCTTGAATCACCTCCCTGTCCTCCACATCCCTTAGCATAGCTTCTCAGAGGATCTGTTCCATGATCTTCCCAGTCATAGGGGTGAGGCTAACAGGTTGGTAGTTCCCAGGGTCCTCCTTTCTGCCCTTTTTAAAAATGGGTGCTATGTTTCCCTTGTTCCAGTCACCAGGGACTTCACCTGAGTGCCACGACTTTTCAAATATCATGAAGAGTGGCTTGGCAACTACATCAGCCAATTCCCTCAGGACTCTGGGATGCATCTCATAAGGTCCCATAGACTTCAGTATGTTCAGGTTCCTCAGGTGGCCATGAGCCTGATCTTCTCTTACAGTGGGAGGGACTTTGCTCCCCCAGTCCCTGCCTCGAGGTCCATCCACGTGAGAGAAGTGTAAGGAGAGACCAAATAATAATGGAAATAATGAAAACAGAAATAATTGAAAAACTGTGTAATGTTTCTAACCTCTGAAATATTTGTGACTGAATACCTATGTGCTTTTACAAGTATAATCATTTTTTCTTTCATAATCCTGCAGCAATGAGAAAGACAAGGTCAGATTTAATGGTTGTATTAACACTAATGAATTACAGAACATGAGTCAACATTCATTTCCCTTAAATCTTTGTGTATTAATTGAAGCTTCACTTTATCTTCTCTGAGATTTTAACCATGGTAACTCTTAGGACTTGGAATTAAGGATGAGAAGCATTCTGACTCTAGGTGACACATGTTTTTCAGCTCAAAATTATTCTATTTTTTTTTCCTTGCCCTTTTTCTTCTGGATAATGAGGGGAAAAAAAAGGATTAATTTCTAAGTTTTTAAAGCTGTTCCTGTTTACACCAGGAATACAGCAGTTGGGAGAAATGTGGTGTTGTTTTCTGTTGAATGGTAATAACCCTTAATGCTAGGTATTAGAGAAAAGGGAATATGAGGCAGAATTAATTCTTGCGGTTGTATACAGTGCACTCTCTGTGTGTCTGTTTCTGTTCTATAACTGAATACAGATTCAGTTATAATAGTTCAAGAAAGAGCCTTAAAAATCAGTCAGGTTGCACGTTCTGGAAAACTGCTCTTGCAAAATAGAGTCTAGAAAGATATATTTATTTGGCCTTATAACTCTCTTTAAAGGTTCAGAAAGGTAGTCTCTCTTGTATTACGAGCTGTTATGTCAGAATACAACTTTGGTGCTCTGAATCAAATGACCAAGTAGAGTGTGCTACGAAGCCAAGGAATGTGCTGTATCGTGAGGCCTGTCCTCAGAAGAATCTCATTTACATGGCACACAGCTTGCTGCTGCGCAGGCCACTTCTCTCAGTGTACGGGTTTACTAAGCAGATTCAGTCAACTGGCAAACTGAAGTGATCTGCTGGCTAGCTATGTCTGGTAGGTGGTGTTGCAGGCCCGGAGGAGTTGCAGTGGTGTGTTGCTTAAATATACTGGACTTTTCAGATCAGTTTATTTGGCCTGTTAAAGGAAAGAAGAGGCTAAGAATTTATCTGGTCTCTGTATGTAGACACTTACCCATGAGAAGGGTCGCTGTAATGAGAAACCTTTCAAGCTTTTTAATAGACATAAGATCCAACCACTGAAACTTGAAATAAGGCAATTTCAGTCTGCAAAATAGATATAGTTTCCTAGCAGAAAGGATAAATAAACATTGGAAAACTTCATCAGTGGAAGAAGTGGATAATCAGTGTCTGGAGTACTAGGATTGGGAGGGGCTTTATTAATTTAAAAGATATGCTTTAGTCTGTCATCTGGAAAAAATTCCACAGCTTATGGCAAAGAAGAGGAGGAGGGGAGAAAGGATGTAGTGTTTGTGGTGGATTTTGATAAAACCAGTGAAACTTCTGGTCTAGGAATTTAGGACTCTGAATTCCCATTTCTTTTTTTTTTTTTTCAATGTTTGAACTCTGGGGGGAAGGGAATTACATGCTTTGCCTTGACACGCTCCCAATATTGCAGTTCAGCATCAAGACAGAGCTTCTAATCAAGATACAAGTATCTAGCCTTTGCTTAAGAGTCAGAAAGGATTCTAACAGTTAACTAGACATGCTCCGCACACTTACACCCCACTCTGTCATCACACTTGCATGCCCATGACTAGAAGCCTGAGGATGGATAAGTACTCTGAGACAGAAGAGAAGATGCCTGCCTGGCTGATACTCTGGTCATACATTCATAATCGTACTGCTGACATACTGCATAACTAGAAAGCAAACCTGTGGTAAATAACCACCGCGGAATTTGTGGGTGGAGTTACACTGTCCTGTGCAGCACATCATGGTGCACGAGCAGGGAACATATCAATACCTCTCACCCAGTTTCTCATGATTGCAGCAGTTTTGGCCTCTCTGGAGGACTGAGGTGTGTGCACATGCAGTGTCCGCGTGGGTGTGTTCTCTCCTCTGGACTTGCATAGATCTGACAAGTCCTATGTTCAGACTTCCTTTCCTGCCAAGCAAGCAGGAAATGAGAGGACAAGTCTTTGAGTCTCGTCTCATTCACTTGTGTCCTGGAGTAAATGAAAGGCTGTGGCATGGTATTTTAACCAAGGTTTTGCTCAGAGACACCCTGACGGGGCAGAGCTAAGCATATGCAGGGCCATGTGTGGAAAGCTCCGCAAAATGCAAGTGTGGTATGTTTGTATTTTATAGCTGCTTTTTCATTCTACACACAATAGCTTGTGTGTAGTTGGAGGTCTAAGCAAGTCGTAGATTTTTTTTGTTCTGTTCACATTTCTGTTGGACAGAAGTTATATAACCCAGTTTCACTTGCATCCGCGGTAGGGTTGTTCAGTAGGTCAAACTGAACTGCGGGGTATTTGAAATACTAGTTTGTATATTTTTAATAATGCACCAAGACTTGATTGTGGAGAAAGTTTCCATTAAAAATTAATTGAATCAAGGCTGAAGCAGCATGAGTATCTAAAGTCATCTTCATCAGATCCAAAGTTTCTGTATGATATTTTTACTTAGGACAGTTTAATTTGCTTAATACTTTGTATTATTTATGACTCCATACTCAAGGCAGCCCCTGTTTTCTGTGTAACGTACAGGTTCTATACTTAGTGTCTTGTTTTCCTTGGTCCTCTTGGGAGCACATGTTTGTATGTAAGCTTAAAAAAAGAGCATCACAGTGCATCTTTTGTTCAGCTGCCTTTCAGATTCATGCACTTTTAGTTTCATTTGTGTTAAGCAGTTAACTGAGAAAAAAATTGTACTGAAAGTATTTAGTGTGGATAATCATGTGCTTGTTTTACAGGTACGCCAGGTATTAAAGTTCTCATGCCTGCACTTTCTCCTACAATGGAAGAAGGAAACATTGTGAAATGGTTAAAAAAGGAGGGTAAGATAGTGTTTTCTGTGGCCACATTTGTTGTAAATCTTCTGCTATATAAATCTATTCTGTAGGAATAAGATCATTCTTTCTGGTTGTACCTTAGTATTTTGAAGCAAAATGTTTGGTATATGGATGCTGTCTTCTTGGAAAATACTGGCTTTGAAATTGTTGGTTCTTGAAACATTTTTCCTTTAGTTGTCTTCCAAAAGGTTGCATTGATCATATTTTTGAAAAATTTCCATTAGGCTATTCCAGGGTGTGAGTATATTTGTTGTTTTCAATTCCCAGTGTTGTTGTGCTGATCAGTTACTTTGACTGATCGTGCTGATCTGAGAGCCTTTGACTTTGGGGAGGGTCTCTGTTTCATTATTCTGCTGCATTGTGAAATAACATGAAAGATATGGTATTTTTATAGTTGCTCTTCAGGGCTTACTTTTTAATATCTAAGTTATAGTCTACAATTAAAGCCGATAGAATAATTTACACTATTTTCATAACCAGTGTTCCCAATGGGGAAATCTCTTTCCAGAAAAAAAAAAGGAAAATAAAACCCAGAATACTCCTCCAAAAAAAGCCATGACAACCTTGATTAGCTTAGGTTCTCAGTGCTCTGACAACTGAAAAGTAATATACTTCTGTTAAAATGTGTTGGAGCAGCTAGCTAAATAGTCTGAGTCTGTTTTGTCTTCACATAGGTTATATGTAAATAAAAATCATCTGCAGAAAAATTGGCAGTCCCTATTCTGTCAGGAGACATTTATCCCTTCTCTTACCCTTCCTTCTCTCCAATTTAGTATTAAAACTGGATTATAACTGTAGTTTTGAATTCCAGGTAGCAGTTGTCTGTTGGTGTAGGATGCATTTCAGAGTTTTAGATGACTGTAGGAATACATCTTGTTCTCAGACATTTTAGATTTGCTAAAAAGATGAACATGTTTGGAGGAAAGAAAATATCTTAAAGCGTATTATCTTTGACAGACACAATTAAGTGAGCTAAATATGTATCTTGACTATCCTGCCTGCCTAGATAAGCCATTTCCATTGGCTTACCCTCTAAGTGTTGATACAGCATCCATCATTGTGTTACTGCATTACTTTGCTTTTATACATTTTGAATACATATTGAGAGGCGGCAGGAAGGCAACTTGTTGCTCTGGTAGTAGATGTGACCGTTTGCTTATAAAACTTCTGGTAAGAATTTCTGCAGAACTTACTAGGAGCAAGAGGGCAGTCTTATGTCTGTAAAAAGTAATTGCACCAATGTTAGTCAAGTATTGAGTCCAAGATTTTGCAGAGAAAAAGGAACAATCCAAAGTCCTTTTTCTATTCATTAGTTGTCAATAACTGTAAGATTTTAAAGATCAAGAGTAGTCTGTTTTACAATAAATAGAGCGTTGAAAGTTGCAAGAGAAAGCAAAGAAGAGAGCATGACAGAAGTTGAAGTAGATTGCAGTTTGCTCTACAACACAAATGAGTCGATGTTCCTCATAAAAAGGTCTTAATATGCAGCGGCTATAAATGGTTTTTCTTGGTCTTTCCGCTACAATTGCACCACAACATGAAAAGGAAAAAAAGCTCCACACCTATTTTAATTAAAATAAAGTCTTAATTGATGGTTGGGCTTTTAGAGAAAACTATTTTAGGATTTTTATTGCTCTGCTTTCTGTTTAGAAACAAGACCGAAACTGAATATCATGTATTGTCTTATTTGGCACACTTGTGACCATAATTAGTTCCTACAGATTTTTTTTTTCCTCTGTCAGTCTGGAAAACATAACGACATTAAAAAAAGCAAAGTTAAATTTTGAAGGAAAAGCAAAGTGATTTAATGCTTATACTCCTCCTGTCTGCAGGGGATGCTTGTTACTACATAACCCTCCAGTGAGATGGCCATCTAAATGTAGTGGCATTACTGAATTTAAATGTTTGATAATCTCATATCCAAGAAATTAAATATTTTAAAGCAATTGACAAAAGAAAGCTGATGATTGCATGAAATGTTTTTCCCACTGTATAACCAGCAGGGGTCAGTAGAATAGTATTTTGATAATTTTTCTGCTCTTTCTGTAGATATCAAATGTTTTTATTTTATAGTTTCATGGGATGAACAGGTGATTTCAGTACTGCAGAAGGAAACATGCTGAATTTAATTGACAGCTTTACTATTTCCTTCTCATTGTTAATGCAGTTTCTTATTGATTCCTGTGGATAATGAAGCCATTCTTATAAAAATAAAACTGTGTTTCTAAAAACTTGAATTTAATGTTGGTGAAAAATGATAGATTGACAGCCCAGGAGACCAAAATCCTCTTCTTATTGTGGGTAGGAAATGGAATAGGCAACAGTGCTAGCAGTTTCCTCGTGCAGTGTAACTCTGCTGCCTTCTGAGACATCAATTCCAGGGACTTCAGTCTCTATGCTTAGTCAGCTTTGATTTGATTTGCAAAGAGTACGTCAAGGAATGCAGTTTCTATCTTGTGATTTGTATACTTGTCTGTCAGTAACTGAACGGAGCACATAGTCTATTGATTGCCAATTTGATATGATCTCCTAGAGGGAAACTTGGCTTCAGTAGAGATCCTAATCGTTCAGCCTAGCTATAAGGACTTAATAATTTAAAAAAAAACCCCAACAAACTCCACCCAAGATTTTTCAAGGGCAGTATATGTAATCTCAGAGAGGTGCCATTCAGGCAACTTCTGTTGCAAATATTGCTCTCTCATTAGAAAGCATAGGAGCAAAGATATGCTCTGCAAAAGTGTTCAGTCTTATTTATTGGGAAAGCTGAGTTGTAGGTGATACCACAGCAGGCATTGATTAGGATCTATCCCAAATAGGAAAGAGCTATGATCCTTTCTATTGTGCTTGGGTACTGAAACATACATGAGGTTTTTGGATGCTGCTATGAAATACTCATCTTAAAATTGCATTTAATCAATTGCCCTGTAAACATCTGACCAGTGCAGCAGTGAAAGAAAAACAGTTAAGTAGTAGAAAAGTGGTTTGGCTGGTTCTCTGAAGACTTTTCCTTTTGTCTTTCCTGTAAGGGAATCCTTAGCTTTCTGTGAACAGCCTCAGGTACCCAAGTTGAGAGATGTCATGTGTGATAAACAAATTAATTAAGGTATTTGCTTCTCCTAGCTTGCACCATTGGAGTTACTGCTTCAGGCTGCTTAGTGCTAAGATGTCATTTTAGTGGTGCAGAACACTTCTGGTCTGATTACAGGTTGAGAGAGCAGAATAATCAAGATATGGAGTTAAGCTCCTTTCTGCTGGCCTATCTTAGAGCTGTAGGTTACAGAATTTGCCAAACAATTTGATTTCTTAACTTCTATGAAGTACTTGCCCATATATCACTTGAATTAAAGATCTGATGGAGAGCACTGGTATAGAGCCTGGAATTTTGACTTCCTGTTATAAACTGTTTATGCTCTAGTTATTGCAGAGTGCAGTGCGGCAAGTAGATTATTCAGTTAAAAAGATCAGGTGCTGCTTTGTGTACTCCCTTGCCAAGTTCCATAATAGGAACATCTATGACTTATAAAACTATGTCAGTGACTGAGCTGTGAATGTTTCCATTGTTTACTACTGCAGCAATCACAAGGTTTGTACAACACTTTATTTTCCCCTTCTAATTCAGGTAGTCCTGAAACAGGAAATAAACACTTTTTTAAAAAACAATAATTATCTCTTACCTAAATACAGGTGGTAACCTGATTTTTTTCTGATGCTTAAGTACAACAGAGTGCTATCAGGAGTTAAAGTAAATGCTTAGACAGATAATACTGATGGAGCATTTCTGGTACTGCGGAAATATTAAAACTTCACTTAATATAAAAATTATAGCTATGTGTTAGGCTTGTATGTGTCATCCCTATTTTTCAGTGCTCTGTGAGGAAAGATTATCATATTTTGTTGGAGGCCAAAACTACCTCAGTTTTTCAGTGTAATTTCAATTTTAATGTTGGCCATCTAGTCAGTAATGATCTGTTGAAAGAATCCAGACCCTTATCTTTATCATGTGCTAGCAGATATACTCTTCAAAAGCAGAGGAAGAGTAGTGTAGTGAAAGCAATTTCTAACACTTGTACATATTTTTATTTCACAAAGTAAGTGTGTTTCTAAAAGACATTTTTAACTATATAGGAAATTGAGGAAACAGGCTTGCGTATGTGCTTTCCAATGAGGTTAAAGTTCCTGAGGTTTTATTTGGATATCTTTAATAGTGTAGATACAAACTAGAGAACTGTGATGCATAGTTACAGATGTTGCTGTCTGTGACCACTGTCTTAAAAAATTACAGTTGTAAATAGCTTGCTTTGACTGATGGCTAGCAACAAATATGGAAGGCTCAGGATTTTATTCATTGCTGCCGTTCTGCTGCAGCTGTTTTTGTCTTTGAATCTCAGTGGTTTCATTTGGAGATGAAAGATACAGTATGATAAATAATGATGGGGGATCAATTAACTATAGAATATATTAAAGGATGTAAAATGGCTGTATTATGTGGGTAAGTATCTTCCATGGTTGAATAGATCTGAAAGGCAGTTTAGGCAAAGTATTCTTAAGTTCTGTTGTATTTTGCAGGTGAAGCAGTGAGTGCTGGAGATGCATTGTGTGAAATTGAAACAGACAAAGCGGTGATTACCATGGAATCAAGTGATGATGGCATATTGGCTAAAATACTGGTAGGGATTCTACCTTTCTGATTAGGATGATACAAATTCTCTTCAGACTGTTGTTTAGTGTATTGCCTCAAAAACTAGTTTAGATAGCTAAATTTCCTTCTGCTCAGCTTTCACAATAATGCATTTCATTATTAGTGATAAATAATTACTCTTTCATGCATGTACCAGATTACTAGTACGTGGTTCTATATAGGTTTAATGGCTTTTCAGTTAACCTGATTGAAGTATGTTGTTTTGTGTGTTTTGCACCTGATGAACTATGTCCATGAAACGTTGCAGTTTGACATATCTTACTCTGAGTTATAGAAAAGCAAGTTACAATCAGTTAGGTGGAATATGGAATTTTGGATGGTACTTTCCCTGGGATATTTGATCTCCATGCTAGATTATTTTGTGCTGGCCATTAAAGACAGAACATTATAGAAGATGGGCTGACCCGGAGGACAATTCTTAGAATTTTTAATTTTCTGTATTCTTAAAATTGGATTGATTAGGCTTAGTGTAAAGAATAAGAACTGGGATGAATGAAGTTCTCTGAATATCATTTTGGAGTATTTGTGTGTATGTGCATATATAACAGAGATAATGCTCAGTTTGTTTGGCTTGCTTATTTGTTTGGATTTAAATCCTGTTCTGTGCCAGGAAGGAAGCAATAACAACAGGCCTACAGAGGTCAGGATGAATGACTTAGTTTTAACCTTGCATTGCGTAAGGTCTGCTTGCAAGTCCTGCGCTATTCCTTACATACTGTATTTTAAAAGGGCAAGTCAAATTCCTTATCCTTTCCTTTCTCCTCCTCCTCTTTTCTAACATTTTTGAAAAAAAGTTTGTTATTTTAAAATGACCCGGTGTTAATTATCACCAGGATTTAGAAGAGTAGGACTGTAATTCTGAGGCCTTCTGTTGCGGCTTCTGTGTAAAAGTAAATACTGCATTTTCTGAAAGCTCATATTTGATGCTTAAGAATTAATGGAGACTATTTTTTCTTGTCCATTAAATATGTATAATGGAAAATGTATTTCAGTGTCTCATTTTTAGGGAGAGCAATGAAAGTTGTTGTTATTAATTGTGTATAAAGACAGGGAGAGGATTTTCGCCCCCTCTGAATATTCACCACTTTTTCTAAAATTTTCCCCAACAGTATCCAAATTTGTGGAGTTCTTGTTTGTCCTAGGAAGGCTTAAACTGTCAGCTAGCCTCTAGCACTTGCAAGAAGAACACTGATGTCTTTTCTTTTTCCATTTTAGAAATTGGGTAGATAAATATGGATAACGTTAAATATGATTTTTGCAATGAATTTTCAGTTTGGTCAAGATAAAACAACTTGCTCAATTGCAATTGTAGAAAATCAAGTTGGACAGTCAAATAGGCAGCTAAATGGGGAAACAAGGTTCTGCAGCATAATATTTCTCAGGTTTAATGTGTGACAATACTGATGCATAAAGAGCTTGTTACTACACTTAAACATCCTAGCTAAGAGCTAATGTCTCCAAAGAAAGCACAAAAAGGAAGCTGACAGAGGGTGGAAACAAGGACAGGTACCTGGCAGGAATACAGAGAAATTATCTGAGTAGCCAGGGATCAGGTTAGGAAAGCTAAAGCCCTGATAGAATTAAGTCTGGTCAGGGACGTCAACGGCAACAAGAAAAGCTTCTAGAGGAATGTCAGTGATAAAAAGAAGACTAGGGAAAATGTGGGCCCTCTCTGGAAGGAAACAGGAGACGAGATTACCTGGGATATGGAGAAGGCTGAGATACTCAATGACTTTTTCCCTCAGTTTTCGTTGGCAAGTGCTTTGGCCACACCACCCAAGTCGCAGGAGGCACAGGCAGGCACTGGGAGAATGAAATATCGCCTGCTGTAAGAGAAGATCAGGTTCAAGACCATCTAAGGAACCTGAAGATGCACAAGTCCATGTGATGTGATGAGGTGCATCTGCAGGTGCTGAGGGAACTGGTGGATGGAGTTGCTAAGCCACTATCCACCATATGTGAGAAGTTATGGCAGTCCGGTGAGGTTCCCAGTGTCTGGAAAAGGGGAAACATGACCCCCACTTTTAAAGGGAAAGAAAAGGAAGCCCCAGGGAACTACAGGCCAGTCATTCTCACCTCTGTGCCTGGCAAGATCATGGAGCAGATCCTCCTGGAAACTGCTAAGGCACATGGAAGATAAGGAGGTGAATGGTGACATCCGACATGACTTCACTAAGGGAAAAATCATGCCTGACAAATGTGGTGGCCTTCTACAATGGGGTTGCAGCGTTGTTGCATAAGGAAAGAGCAAGTGACATCATCTGCAAAGTATTTGACACTGTCCTGCAGTAAAGTGGAGAGACATGGATGTGACACATGGACCACTCAGTTGATAAGGGATTGGCTGGATGGTCACACTCAAATAATTGCGGTCAACAGCTCGATGTCCAAGTGGAGACCAGTGATGAGTGGTGTTCCTCAGGGGTCAGTATTGGGACTGGTGCTGTTTAACATCTTTGTTGGCGACATGGACAGTGGGATTGAGTGCACCCTCAGCAAGTTTGCTGATGACACCCAGCTGAGTGGTGTTTTTGACACGCTGGAGGGAAATGGATGCCATCCAGAGGGACCTCGACAAGCTCAAGAAGTGGGCCCGTGCGCAGCTCATGAGGTTCAACAAGGCCAAGTGGAAGGTGCTGCACATGGGCTGGGACAATCTCCAGCACAAATACAGGCTGGGCAGAGAATGGTTTGAGAGCAGCCCTGAGGAGAAGGACTTGGAGGTGCTGGTTGATGAGAAGTTCAGCGTGACCTGGCAATGTGTGCTCACAGCCCAGAAAGCCAGTCGTATCCTGGGCTGCATCAACAGCAGCATGACTAGCAGGTCGAGGGAGGTGATTCTGCCCCTCTGCTCCACTCTGGTGAGAGCCCACCTGGAGTCCTGCGTCCAGCTCTGGAGCCCTCAGCACAGGAAATACATGGATCTGTTGGAGCAGGTGCAGAGGAGGGCCACAAAGATGATCCTAGGGCTGGAATATCTCTCCTGTGAGGCAAGGCTGAGAGATTTGGGGCAGTCCAGCTTGGAGAAGAGAAGGCTCTGGGGATATCTTATAGCAGCCTTCCAATACCTGAAGAGGACCTACAAGAAAGCTGGAGATGGACTTTTTGCAAGAGCGTGTAGTGATAGGACAAGCGGTGATGGCTTTAAAATGAAAGAGGGTAGATTTGAATTAGACATTAGGAAGAAATTCATTATGATGAGCGTGGTGAGGCACTGGATCAGGTTGCCCAGAGAAGTCATGGATGCCCCCTCCGTGGCAGTGTTCAAGGCGAGGTTGGATGAGGCTTTGAGCAACCTGATCTATTGGAAGGTGTCCCTTCCCATGGCCAGGGGTTTGGAACTAGGTGATCTTTAAGGTCCCTCCCAGCCCAAACCATTCTGTGATTCTGTGAAATATTCTATCTAAAGCCTCCTTAGGTCTTCTATAAAGTGAAATACTTCTGGAGTATTTAAAGGAACATTTCCCAAATGAAATATGGTAGAAGGTCTTATCTAGGGAATACGTACACAAGAGGTGTGGATTGCATAATTGTGTATAGGCATACTGGTATTAGTTGCAATCTAGCTACTTAGGAAACAACATAATGGGCATAGGTACAAACTAGTTCCCGGAGCCATCAGTGTGCAAGACAAAATTCTACCCTACGCACTGTGAGTAAACATGTTTCATCTGCTATTACAAAAGCTGTTTGGATTGGTCAGTTGGGTTGCCTGATTCTGCTGTAGTTGCATTTTCTTACAACAGCGTGTATTTGCATAGTTATTCTCTGCGAAAAAAGGGAGAGTAGTTTCCTGTGTGGCAGAATTTAGGAAGTGATGATCTGTTTAGGATCTTCCTTTTTTTGTATAACGAAAGGGAACATCTTTTACAAAAAAGTGGAGGGCTGGGTGGGGAGGATTGGTCATGTAAGGTTGAACTCAGCTGCAAGTAAAGTCTGTCAGGCCTTACAAGAAATTGTCATTAGTGTTTAATTTCTACAGGATAGTGTGCATTTTAAACACTAATTTATCTAATCAAGTAGGACTTTTGTAAATCTTTTGCTTATTTTAATTTGCATTGCTGAATAGTAATTTTCCCCAGATACTCATTTTTTTTGTAGCACCTTGAAACTTATGAGTTTTTGTGTTCAGTTATGGAGTAACACATCTAATAAGTTGCAGAGAATCTATTCTGCTATCTCAGGACAAAAAGCTCACACTGGGCATTTTTAAATGTGTTTTTAGTCTCCATATAGTTATTTTAATAATTGCCGGGTGAGTAATACTTTCACTGTTTTTGATTGTCTCATCTTCAATTTTGAGTGTTTCTGAAAATTATCTTGCATCTAATAGCCTTTACAGAATCTTGGGCGACCTCTTCATTTTTATTTTTTTTTTAAATATGAAGTACCTAGTCTGCATTTACAGATACTGTTCTGTTAGATTATGTGAAGAGGAGATATGGGGATTGTCTCTGTCAGAAGTATTAAAGAATGATTCGCAGAGAGACATTAAGAATAGCAGACTCCAATTTTTATTTTTCAGGGTTCTTTAATAGTAATTCATGATCACTACAAGTAGCATTAGTATTTCAGAAGTTGTGTTTTTCTTGTTTCCCTTCTTGTGATATGAATGCATTCCAATTTCTGGAATTTCTTTGTGTATATTGCTGTTGTGACACATTTTTTGGTAGATTAAAACCAGACTCTCCAGCAACTGTGTGATACCAGTGTCATGGAGCAATGACACTCAGCCTTAGTCAGGATGTCCACATCATCCAGTAACAATCATACGCCAAGAGCTGAGTCTGAGAAGGACATGCTGGGAGGTGGAAAATAGCTATAATGTCTTTCAGACTGAGGGAAGAGAGGCAGCTTTATTGGAGTGACATGAACAGATTATTATGCAAACACAGTCTTTAATGTATTCCTTTAATCCCTCTTTTTGTAATCTAGAAATGGTGGGCTTAAGTATTAGAGTACAGAATAGATAAGCAAGTGGGCTTTTATTCCAGTCTCCTAAAAAGTACAGAAGAAACCTCATGTTTTGGAAACTGAAATAATAGGGGAGCAATAAGATCAGAAGTCTTACAGGTTTTTTTTCCTAGCTCAAGATTCTTAGTAGTCTTTCTGCAGTATTGTGTGGATGTTTTTGCACTATATTGAGTGTTGAGTAGCTGCCTGTGTAAGCTTTATAACATTAAGCTGTCCCAGGTTTGTGGATGGGGAGATGATTTCTTATTGAAAGGACTGTTCTTGCAAAGGCCATTCAGAAGTTTCAGATGTGTTATAGTTGATGGGAAATTAAGAATGTTTACATCTGAGTTATCAGCATCTAGCTGAAGTTCACTCACTTCCTAAAAGAAATGAGACAACCATTTTATGTTCTTTGATGCCATCTACAATTCTGCACCATCTTGACTGAACTCAGCATGGAAAACTGAGTGAAATAAACAGACTATCTGCCTAACACTTAGTTTTTTTACCTTTACAGACAGAATGTTGATTAGATTAAATGAATTTGGTGTTCTGTAACCCTTCTTGGTTTTTCTTGGTGGTATAATGTGAGTATGAATGGTTTAAGAAAGAACAGGTTAACAGTGAAATAGATACTCATGCATATATTCATTTTCTATCTGAAGAGGTCTTTTAATGGTCACATCTGATTCAGTGTAAAATGCAGTAAAAGATTAAAGGACTGAATGAAAGTATGAAGGATAATTTCAGAAAGGTGATTATTCTTTTAGTAGAGTTGCTTCTGAAGTTAACCCTGACTTTTTTTTGCTTAAAATACTTATTAGTTCAGTTTGGACCAAAGCCAGATGATGAATGACTGTTGAAGAACTGGATTTAATATCCATTACTGTTTTTTCATTCATGACCTGAATGAGAACAGGTATGAACTGAAACTACTTTGTATAAAACTACTGCGGAGTGAGCCAGCATAAGTTCTGTCCACCATGCTTTCCAGTGTAGGAAATAAACATGTATTTCTGTATACATGTGTTAGCGAGTAAAGCACTGTGCTGCAGTAGCGAGAGCTCTGAGGGAACTTTATTCCTCTGTGCGCTTCATCTCCTCCAGTTTTTCTCCCTGTCGTGGCTCGCCTGTGCTTTGTTGGTTTGGCAGCAAAGCTAGGATCTTTTTGACTTTTCATGGCTATGCGTACACACGGTAATAGAAGTATGTGAAGCTACTTATTTCGGCTCTTTCTACATCTGAGATTCTGGGGTTCACTGAGATTTATGCAGAGAGGTTTTACGGTATTGTAAATTATGAAAATGTAGAAGTGACTCAAAAATCCAGAAGACAAAAAGTTAAGCAAAATAATAACAATTTTTCTTTGTCTATTCTAGTTTTGAGCTGCAAAGGCTGTGTGTTTAAAAACATGTCTTTTAAAAAAAAAAAACGTATAAAGTCTGCAGTCATCTGGGCTGGAAACCCATATTGGAAAATAAGGAACGCTGGAGTTCTCATGTAACTGTCTTGGAGTGATGAACATGAGAAAAACCACAATGGCTTGCTCTGAAGAGTGAGAGTTGACGGCATTGATGGCTTTGAATGCTTATATAATGCTGGGTTATAAACAAAGCCTAACTAATATACGTATTGTGTTGTGTTTTTGAAGACTCAACCATCCCTGTTGGATTTCTGCATGTGTTATCATAGCACCATTAAATTCCTCTGACACCAAAACTGTGGTAAGGACTTAGGGCTATAAGCATGTTGTAGTGCTTCTTGGTCTATTCAGTTACAATGTGTAGACTGCTTATAAAAATAGAAGTGTTCTCTGTTGTATGTGGAAGCCTTTGTAAAGGAAAGAGAAGACATGCCAAAAGACTTGGTTTATATAAAAGTGCTGCATATTAATATGTTATGGGGAGTATATTGAACTTGGGGAACATAGCTATTTTGCATCATCATTGGTATGGATTGAGCAGCTGAGTATTACATAGTTTTTCTAAATACCTTCTGTGCGAAGTGTGATCATTCTGTAAAATTATTAGAGTAACTTCAGTATTTTCCATGTTCATAGCTTTGTTTTCTTTTGGTTTTCCCAGTTCTGGTGTTCAGTGACTAGATTAGGTAGGTTGTGTTTGTACTGGCTTCAGGCTGCTGTTTTATTAAATGATGAGTGGTACTAACATTGCAGTTATACATAGTTTTAGAAATTTGTTTATCAGTGGGCCTTTCTGTGGTAGGGTCTTTTAGCCTTAGACAAAGCAGTTCAGGACTTTTGGTTGGCATTCTGTCACCCCAAGTACTTTAATGACATCTCAATAAAATATGATGATGTCTTGAAGAATTCTTCAGACCTCTCAAATGAAACTTTTCAGAATATTAATGGAGAAGGATGCATCAAGAGATCGGAACAAGCAATATGGAACTAAGTCTTCAATAATTTTTTTGTGTAATAAATACTCTGGAAGTATTACTCTAGAATTTACCTAGTGTTCATGGCAGGGAGGGGGAGTAGTGAACAGACACAACTATAAATGTGAGATGTTTTATTGGAACATACCAAGAACAAATTGCCTTTGTGGTTCCTTCTTAGGTCTAGTGTTGGCCCTTCTGGTGAGGGAGCTGAGTAATCCTGTGAAATTTGATAGCTCTGTCAGTGGAGTTAACAGTGCAGACATCAGTCTTATCTGAGTAATAATATTCTAGTACTTGAGTCTGACTAGTACTGTCTTCACAGTATTCTGTTTTATTTGTTAGTGTTTAAGTGCCTAGAACACCCAATTAAGATAGTAAAAACTGTGTGATATCTGATATTATGTGTGTTTTTATTTTTTGTGTCTGTCTTTGGGATTTCCAAATGATAGTGGTTTGCATTTTATTGGGTAAAATGTCAGCATTGCAGACATATACCAGCTCCATTTGAGGCAAATGTATGTGCAGTATGTCTTTATGGTAGAAATATAATGTCCATTTCCTTTGTCAGAAAATCAACTTTATTTGGGCTGGTACAGTTGTAAGTTGTACTTGACTGCCTGTGGTCCTAAAGGGCTGTCTTTACATTTGGGCTGGTGCCCTGGAAATGTTACTGCTTTTGAGAACCTGAAGAGTTGTACTTCTGCAACCATTTTGGGGACTGTAGGAGGAGCCCTTTGTTATGTTATTGAGTTAACATGACTGCCATGCCTTTATCTGCCAAAGCATCAGAGAGATGTTTTGACTATGACACAGATATCTTTTTGTTTTAAAAGGAACATGTAGAATAGATTTGCCTAATCCAGTCTAATAAGATTATATTTAGATTAGATTAGACTTATCTTTCTGTAAGATTTTGATTCAGACGTTCTTTGAAACTGATTTACATACCACGCAAGTGCTATCACTTTGGTGAACAGACTTGTTATGTGGCACCAGTTACGTTAAAATAGATGAATTTAGAGGTGGAAGTTAGTGGAAAACAAACGTAATCTTTTTCAAAGAGAAGTAATGGGACACTTGTTATGGTAGGGTTTTGGTCCCTTAGCTGCTGAATTTACAAACTTGTGTTTTAAAAAGTAAGATTGCTAGATACAGGGTAGATACTACAAAGTACATCTGCTCAATGTGTTGAGCAAAATTTTCAGGCTTCCTTCGCAAACATTAGGCATCCACATTTGTTTTCAGTAGCTAATGCAACTTTATTGTTGGAGGTAGGAGTAGTCTGTAACTTGCTTACGTTGATTTCTGAATGCTAACTTTAAATGTATGGGATTTGGGGGCAAAAGTTAATATTCCTTACCTTATAGCAACTGTAATTTCAGTTATGAGTCGTCTTATTAATAGTAGGTATAAACTAGGATATATTCCCTTGATGAAGTGTCATTAATATGCCTGAAATTTTCCCATCTACCATTTTTAGTCCTATTAGTCTAGACAGTGCAATATGTAATGTAATGTTCCCATTGCCTTAAATTTAGGTGGAAGAAGGAACCAAAAATGTACGCTTGGGCTCACTAATTGGTCTGCTGGTAGAGGAAGGACAGGACTGGAAGCAAGTTGAAATACCAGCTGGTGCTAGTGATCCATCTTCTCTGACTCCACCAGCACCTCCCCTTTCTGCAGTTCCTGCAGGTCCTTCAGTTTCAGCCCCTGCTAAACTGGAATATCAACCTGGAAAATTGCAGTAAGTTTCTGTGATTGTTATGAAATGGAACTCTTATTTAATTAGATCAGTAGAGCTGAACTGAGAAGAATCTTTTGCCCCTTCTTGCTTAGTATTAAGCTGCTAGTTTAAGAGTGTTTCAGTATGTGTGTTAATAAAGCTTGCCTGCCCGGAATATTTCTTTGCTTGTAAGCCCAAGAAGTCAATTTGAACAACAAAGTTTTATTAGAACACCTTCTATAGATGTGCTTTTATTCTTACATACAAATGCTGTATGAAGGATTCTAAGCTTAGATTAGGAAGGAATTGCATTCAGATATGATGGACAATAACGCTTACGCATCTCATGCTCAGTTTACCTATACTGGTTTTTAATTTCTTTTTAAGGATTGAAAATAAACATACTCCAAATCGTGCTAAGGTGCGCTGGGTGCTCTGTAGCTCTGTACTGTGTTTGATAGTCACTGCTTCTGTTTCGAGGCAGAAATGTTACTGTTGAGCATATCCCATCTAGGTCAAGATGGCAGGTGCGGGTTTCCTAGTAGGATAGTATACCTTGAGTGTATGCTGATTAAAATGTTTGAGTGTGGGAGGGCTTAATATTTAGTCTTCTAAAGCAGATACTGGATCATGCAGCTAGATCTGTATGGCTTTTGCTTTCCGAAAAAGAAGACATTCCATTAAATCAATCCTATAAAATAAAATTGTAGCTAGGGCAAAGGTAATGACATAATTAGAATTAAGCTGCATTAATAATGCAGTTACAGCTAGCCAACCAAATAAGATGTGAGCAACCCTCTTGTCTGAGCTCCTAAAACTCATTTTTTAATGTTACTGTAATAAGCTGGTCTTAAAAAAAATGTATGTGGTTCTTCATGGATAACCCTTTTTTGGAAGACTCCATTGTTCCTGTAAGAGGAAAGTTTGGAGATGAGTTTTCCACTCTTTATTTTGATCTCTTTAGGTTGTTAACTGTGTTTTTAAACTCACCCTTGCATTAGAGCTTGGTGAAGGGGCACAGTCTGACTTCAGTGTTAGGAACCCCCCCAGCCTTTGTACAGAACTCTGTTTTCTTCCCCAGCTGTTGCTTCTGAAACAGAGCATGTATTGTGTAGTTTCTCTTGATATACATTAAAAGAAATAACCTAATCTTATTGTTGAAATAGCTTATTTTTCACTTCACTTCTTTAGGGTTCGCTTAAGTCCTGCAGCTCGCAACATTCTGGAGACACATGGACTAGACCCAAGTAATATTACTCCTTCTGGGCCTCGAGGAATCTTCACTAAAGAGTAAGTACATATTTCGGTAAAGCTACAACCTCATACTCCCGTATTTCTTCCTTTGAACCTAGAACAATCTCCATGAACTCAAAGTCCATTTATTTAAAAGGCCAACTTTTTGTTCCATTTTTTTTTTCTGTGGGGGAATGGCGTAGTTAAATTTGAAAAATGTGTTGAGAAGATATGGAGAATATGTTTTCAGAACCAAAACAACATAACAGTAGTCTGTTTTTTTCTAACTCCTTTTGTTTGTGTAGTTCATATCTTTTTGCTTCTTTCACTGATGTTCAGTTATGAAGTCTGTCAGGATTTAATTTCTTCCCTTTTTTATTAGACTGAGGAGAGCAGTGAAATGTAATGGTAAAAAAAAAAAGCAGAGTGCTGTTTTTCTTCCATCTTTATTTTTTTCCTCATCCTTGATTTAAAGATTGTTTACAAACCTGTGGTTTGTTATGATCAGGCTTCTAGTAGTTTACTATACCTTTTGAGTATAATATATATATACATAATGATTGGCACTCAAGCCTTGGAGTGAGAAACTTGTGTATAAAAATGTGTTATGGTAAATCCAGAGTCCTTAGCCTTGAAATATGGTGCATTATCTTTACATTAGTATCTATGTTATTGGAGATGAGGAATACTTATTTTTATTGTCAGTAAAATTATTCCTTTTGACAAAGGCTGTCATTCACCTACACAGACCTTGTTAGATGCTCTCATTTTAGTTCCATTTAAAGGCAGCCAGGTCAGTGTAACTGGAATTGAACTCAGAGAAGCAGGCAGTGGAAGTCTGCTGTTTTCTAAAAACTTTTTGTTACAGTCTTTGGCTGAGTTGAGACAAAATAAGGAGTTGAATACATATAATATTCTATGTAACAGCAATATATCAGAGTTTTTTCTTAATTACATAAGTGTAATGGTAATTTATGATGTGTTACTAGGCTATGGCAGGTGGAAACCCTCTAGGACTTTGAGCTACCTAATTAACAATCCATAGTTGTCATGGAGATGTAGCAAAGATTTTTATGTAGCAGTGAGAGTTATCTAATAAAATCTTTTTTCAAAGCTGCGTTCTTCCAAACAAAAGATTCGACTTTGAAATGTTATTTTAAGATACAGACTGTCTGTGGGTTTTTTTAAGCATTCGTTTGAAGTGGTGTTAATCCTTTCAGATGACTACAGGCTCTGCTATTATGTTCAGTTTAAAATTAAATGTTTTCAGATTTTTATAGACAGCTGCTAAAGATATTCAGGGAAATATTTCTTTTGCTAATTTGAATTTAATGTTAAAATACATGCCATGCTTTATAGCAGAGTGACTCACAGTCTCTTTTCCAAGTAGACTAGCGATTGACTCTTTGAGGTACTGTTGTAAGTTCACTTTTCACTTTTAAACTCTGAGTTTCCTTATGAACAGGTCTCACACCAGATTACAAGAAACAAAGGTAGTTATGTAAGCAAGCAAGAGTCTTTCCCCCAAACTTTTTATATTTAAATTCAGCTCACTGTAAAACTTTAACAGCAATAGGACCTTTCACTTGATAGGTTTCTCTGTCATAATCTACTCCCTTAGTAGGCTGATACTTCATTTCTCTTGTGTATCTCTGCAAGGCTGAATTACTGTTGTCTTCTTCCTGATTGTTTTTGTTTTATGTAGCGGTAGCTTTTTCATTTTTAAGCAATATCCTCTGCTTTCTTCAGAAATACACTAGAAGATTGATGTGTCAGTATAAAGTAACTCACAACTTCTGTCAAAGATTGCACCATGTTCCCAGTCATGAGCTCAGATGCTGTGTTTGGGAGTGCTATGTTAAAGTTGTTGGTTGTTTCAGACTGCTTTTGCCCTTTCTCATCCAATTTACTAGTGATCTAGGAATTTATAAATGCAATTATAAAATGGGGGGCAGCTAGTTACCAGTAACAACTGTGTTCTGCTGATGCCATGTTCCTCCCATCTGTACCTTCCTACCAGCTGGCACTAAGCTGGTGTGATCTGGGATCTCAGAGCTGCTCAGGCATTTGCACTTTCAGCTTTCAGATAAGGCACAGTGCACACACGGGGTGCTGGTTTTCCAAAGAGTCATTTCATGTGTATGTGTTGAGTGCAGACTTACAGTGGGATCTATGCTGCGTGTGATTTGTCAGCTGCCACTATGGAGGAATGAGTTCTTTCTATAATGTTGATAGTGCAGTAAGTCTGATACTCAGAAGCTTTTGATGTGTAACATTCTCTGCTCACCTTTTTCCTTCTTCCAGTAAATCTTCTATGAATTGAGTAATTGGATGTTCAGATGAAAGCGGAATGGGACAATTTAGTAACAATAACTGCCACCAGAGGAAGCTAGTGTCAGTCTGTGCATCTGTAGTTGCACCACTGGATCTTGAGCAATTTTTAGTTGTGTGTATAACCGCTAGTTTGTCCATTTCAAACAAAGCACATTTTGAGCACAAAATATACTTTTGCCATTCTTTGGATTTTGGCGAACTTGAAGTGGAAGGACTGTACACTTCTGTAGTAGTGATAAACTGAACTGTTACAGAGTTGCTGGAATCTGCACACTTCTAATAACAAAAGTTTGGTAAGGCATATTGTTTTGGTTTTGGCTGCTGCCGGCAACAAAAGCGCCACGCAGCCGACCCTCCTCCCGCTGGGGTGCGGAGGAGAATTGAAAGAAACAGGCAGAAACTCGTGGGTTGGGGT